GCGATTATATGGACTATAACGATGAGAAAAAAAGTGATATTTTTCTCAATTTGTTGACCTAAATGTCTACGCTACCATTACATGGAAGACTCATACTGTTTCAGATAGTTCCGTCGGGATTATGTGATAAATTTGAAGTGACCGTGTTTGCGATTTCAGAAATTTTAGCTGGATTTCCTACGGTTGTCACAAATAATTTTTCAATAAAAATTTTACATTTTGTTTAATAAATTTGACACCCTTTAGTCTTAAAACTAAAATTTAATAATATTTCGTATTTTGATATAGAAATATTTTTTAGGTTTATGATAAAAGTAGAAGACATCGGAAAGTTTCAATGTAACATTTGCACCATCAAATTTGAAACGAAAGAAAATTTGGAAGAACATTTGAAGATACATCCGGATAAAACTCCTTTCATTTGCGATATTTGTGGAACAAAATTTAAATGGCAATTCAGTTTGAAACAACATTTATTTTTGAAACACGATTCCAGTAGATACAAATGTGATACTTGTGAAGCGAAATTTAAACGGAAGGACAGATTGAAGGAACATCTGAAAATTCACTTGGATGTTTATCGTTTCGAATGTGACATTTGTAATGCGAGATTTAAACGGAAGAACACTCTGAAGGAGCATCTAAAAGTTCACTTGAATGTTTATCCTTTCGAATGTGGCGCTTGTAATGCGAAATTTAAACGGATTGGCAGTTTGAAGGAACATCTAAAAATTCACTCGGATGTTTATCCTTTCGAATGTGACATTTGTAATGCGAGATTCAAACGGAAGGACACTTTGAAGGAACATCTAAAAGTTCACTTGGATGTTTATCCTTTCGAATGTGACACTTGTAATGCGAAATTTAAAAGGATTGGAAGTTTGAACGAACATTTAACGGTACACGATGATTTTCCTCATGAATGTGGCACTTGTGGAGCGAAATTTGAATATAAACGCAGCTTGAATCGACATCTAAAGAAGCACTCAAATACCTAATTATAACCTTTTGGAATGTGACATTTGTAGAGTGAAATAGTCTCTTCCACTAAAATGAGAATACGTAACTTAAGCAAAATTGGAAAAATTTAAAGTCATCAAAACGCGTCAGACGATAACGTATAAGCATCATACCCATTGAACTAAACAAACACATTGGAACGGGCGGACTGCTTTATGCTAGTAAGGCAAATTTTGATGTATGCAACCAGCAATTTTTGTCTCGTTCGCACACATTGCGAAAGGAAGAAAAGCTTCTTCTTCTTCCTTACCTCAATGATCCAAACACTTCAAACAGCTGTTCTCAATTACTAGCCGCCATAGTGAGGAGAGAGATGCCAATCCCTCTTGTTTGTTGTCCTTCCTGGGACAAACCCTTGCGTAGAAACAATTATGCAGCCGCCGTTCCAGTGTATTTGTTTAGTTCATTATTATTATTATATAGCATTTATTGTTTTGAAGAAAAAATATACATTCAATTTTTTTTACTTAACAATAAATACAGGATTCAACCCCACAAGAGAAGTTTCTCGTCTGTGGGGACAATAACAGGTTAGTAAATGTAAATCTTTATATAATTTATGAAAAAATGGAGAAATATTAAACAATATACCATAAAAAATCTGAAATCTGAAATGAACACTATTCTCATAAAAAAAGTGAATCACCAACAAGCTCGTCAAATAAAGCCCTGCAAGAGTTTGACTCGCGCGCAGAGGCATATTATTAAAGCTCCCTTCTGCATTTAACATAAGCAACACCTAAATATTAAAAAAAGAGAATAAATGCAAATCAGAAAATTAAAAATTAAAAATTAAAAATTAAAAATTAAAAATTAAAAATTTAAGATTTAAAAATTAAAAATTAAAAGGGAAACCAAGAGTTACAAAAAAAAAGAAGAGAGGAAAAAGAAGAAGAAGAAGAAGAGGGAAAATGTATGAATACAAAGTATAAAGGAACAATCATGGAAAGAAAGAAAACCATTGATTTAGTTATGTTTTAAGTCTATTAAGCTGTGTACTTCTTCTCTGGTTATACCAGTCAAAAGATATGCCTTTAATTTATTTTTAAAATTTTGTCTAGAAAGTGCTTGAATAAATGGCGAAATTTTTTCATAAATTTCAGGAGCTACGTAATTGAAACACCTCTGTCCAATGGTCTTTGAAACTTTAGGTCTAAAAACGTTGTGATTTCTATTTCGTGTGTCATAGGGATGTTGAATATCTATTATAGGAATCTTACCCTCAAACAGTCCAATGGATATCTTTTGGAAAAAAAGTTGCCTTGAGTCCAGCAAACCACATTCATTAAAAAGTAGATGTGTTGGGTAAAGCCTATATTTTTTAAAAATTATTTTTAACAGCCATTTTTGTGAAATTGTGACTGTCTCTAAATATTTATTTGTGACACAACCCCATGCCAAAATACCATAATTATTATGCGACTGTGCTAGCGCACAATACAATATTTTCAATTGCTCCGTATTGAATATTCTTACAAAGAATCGGAAATTATCTAACAGTGATCTCAATTTCTTCGATACATATTCTGTATGGTGATCTCATCTTAAATGGCAATCGATAAATACACCCAGATACTTAAATTTTTTGCAACTCAGAATTTCCACAGTTTTTTGATCATGTGGAAATTGAATACTATTATATTCCGGCAACCCATTACTGTAGCAACTGAAAGGCATGAAAGTTGTTTTTGTAAAATTTATTGTCAGTTTATTGTTATCAAACCACTTGACGTACTCAATGAAGTTACTTTGTATTTTATCTTGCAGTTCTTCCCAGCTATCTGCTTTGTAATAGAAACCAGCATCATCAGCGAATGCTGCTGCTTCGGCCCCTCCCTTAACTTTGAAAAGGTCGTTAATATAAATAATGAAAAGAAGGGGTCCGAGCACAGTTCCCTGCGGAATACCATACTCCACCTGCAGTAGGTCACTTACAGCTTCCTCGACATCAACCTGTTGTTTTCTGCAACTTAAATAACTTTCCATCAGTTTTAAGTCTATATCTGCGAATCCGATGTTCTGAAGTTTTTTAATCATAAGCGGATGCGAAATTGTATCGAATGCCTTTGCAAGATCCACGGAAACACAGATGGAAGGAACGCCTTCGTCTAGAGAATTATTTACTTTTGTAACGAAGTCCGCCACTGCGTCCTCAGTCGATCTTGCATTACGAAAACCATACTGATGTTCTGAAAGTATACTGTATGTTTCTAAGTGTTTCACTATCTGTTGCTTTAAAATTTTTTCGAAAACTTTAGAAAGGTTGCTAATAAGTGAAATGGGTCTATAATTACTGACATCAGATTTTTCGCCCGATTTAAACAATGGTTTAACGACAGCTTCTCCAAAAGCTGAAGGATATTCTCCATTAATAATTGATTGATTGATAATATATGTAAGTGGTTCTTTTATGTAATCAGCGATCTCCCTCAAAACCTCTGCAGTCAAGCCATCTGGGCCTGGGGCTTTTTTAACTTGTAAGGAATTAATAGTAGTAAGTACTTCTGATAGGTTTGTAAGTTTGATTCGAATTTTTGATTCACATGTTGTTTCTTCAAAATTATAACTATTGTTACTTTTGATTTTCTCAGCCAAATTCCTACTCACGTTACAGAAATAATGGTTGAAAAAGTCAGAGATTTCCTGTTTGTCTTCTATAATTTTTCCATTTGCACCCTTCAATTGTTTTATGTTGGTATTTGCTGTAGTTTTATTGTTTATTTTCCCAACACAGTTGCACAATTTATGTCGATTATTTTTGTTTTTCTCAAGCTCCCTGTTGTCTTTGTATTTCAGTTCTCCGGAGCCCTCTCTGCTGAGTGCTGGAGTTTATTGCATTTTTTATCAAACTTACAAACTTTAAAACAGAGTTATTTAATGTTTGTTGATTATATACTGTATTCCAATTTATTTGAGATGCATGCCGTATTAATAAATTCTTATCTAAGTACTGTTTATACCTTTGTTTGCTGCACAGGGAATCTTTATTTTGAAAATTAAATAATGTTTCTATCTGTAAAATTTGTGAATAGTGATCAGAGATCTTGGAATGATAGCAGATCGCATTTGCTGGTATATTTGAACTCTTTAAAAATATGTGGTCAATGCATGCTTTTGAATCAAGATATTCACGTGTTGGGACATTAATTGCTGATTGATACCCCCACGCTTCCAAAATATTCAGATATTCATTTCTAGGATTGGTTGATACTAAAAGGTCTATATTTATGTCACCAACAAACATGTCGAAATTAACGCTTTCTCTCTGAATGTCAGCTAGATATCCATTTAAGCTTTGATTAAATTCCACCTCACTTGTAGAAGGTGATCTGTAAAAAGCTGTAACCCGTAGCTTTTTGTTATCTTTATTTATATTCAATTTGATTAATTTTGTATTTGCTAAATTGACTATTTCGTAAGTGTCACTAAGATTTTTCGAAACATACATTACGACCCCATCGTTTTGGTTAAAATTCCCATAGTTATAAAGCATTTCGTAACCATAAAGTTCCAAAGATGAAAGACTTTGAAGTTTGTGCGTTTCGGAAAGGATTATGCAGTCGAAAGTTCTGTCTAATCCAGTCAATGTCACATTCAACTCGTCATGGTGTTTGGCCAAGCTAGAAATATTGTTGTGAAAAATTTCAAAAGTTTTCTTTTTCTCAGTTTTTAGCAAAATGTTTTGACAGCATTTAATGGATTTACATATTTTTGTATAAATATTTCTCACCTCAAAATCTTGAATGTACTGATCCATTTTTACCAATAGTATCAGTTTCACAATGCGATAAAAAGGAAAAACAAATTTGTGATAAAATGATCTCTTTTTTATTTCTGGCTCTATTTCTCAAAAAATGCAATAAATAAATAAATAACAATATTTATAGGTACCTATATGTTATCTTCAATAGTTCATAAGAACAAACAACCAAAAATTCAAAGAGAAAAAGTTTATAATAGTATACAAGATGTTTTGATGTTTATTTAGATTTTTTGTTGGATCTTGTGCTTCTTGGACTGGGGTTGCTCTTTTTCCGTTTCTTCCTGTTCTCTCTTGCTGGCTGGGAAGATTTTGTGTCCAGAGATAGTTTTTTCTGTTCTTCGGTACCTGATTCAGTGTCTGTTTCGTCTCCTGTTGTTTCTGAGAGTTCTGAGCCACTACTGTCACTAGCTGAGTCTAATTGTTCCAGTTCTTTTGCGGTATATGTTTTATTTTCAATCTCAAGCTTCAATCCCTTTATCCTTGCGCTCTTATTTTCCTCTTTAGCCCTCTTAAGATATTTTCTCAAGATGTTCAATTCGCGCCTGTCTTCCTCACATAAATCATTGGAAATCGCACACCCAGTGTCTTTTAATCCTCTAAGCTTATCTGGATTATTAAATATTTCCGATTTTTTCAGAAAAGACAGAAACTCTATTAGAACTGGGGCCTTTCCAAGTCGGTAGATATTATTAATATCACTTACTTTAAAGTTTGTTGATAGAAGTTCATTAATCTTCGTGATGGAATCTTTAACTAAGTTTCTGTCACCGTTTTGCTTTTTAAGGCCATAAAGTATGATATTGTTTCTTCGTACTTTCCGTTCTAACTGAACGTTTTTTTCCTCAAGCTTCTGTACTTTTTTCTCCGTTGCTTTCAAAAGCTTGGTAACATTCGTTTCACTTAAATGAATTTGTTTTGTTAATTTTTCAGTTTGTTTTAGATTCTACTGCAACAGTAATTTATACATATCATTAAACTACGCAGGCTCTCCCATCACTAAATTTGCGATGTATTGGACCTTGGGAGTCTTGGGACTTTATGTCAAGTGACCGTTACGTTTGTGCTGTATAGTGTACTAATTTTGGCAATTTTTGCTGAATGCATGCAGACTGCCTGGTGCCCTGCACTCGGTTAAAAGTCGGGAGTGGGTGGATGGTGGGCGTGCTGTTGCAGAAGCTTTGGATTTTGAACCATATGTTATCAGCTTATTCAAAAACGTTTTGAGGAAAATGTGAGTTTTCTTATGTAGGGCAGAAAATTTTCCACCTACCTTATAGCTAGCTGTATAGTCCTTTTAACGATGATTTCGCTGATGTTAACAAAACTATGAAAACCACGCACTAAACTACTGATTTTACCACTTAGACAAGAGCAACTTAAACAAACAACCTTTCACTTGAACGTTCAATACCTCCTTCATTATAAATACTGATTAAATTTAGGAAGAGTGCTCCAGCGGCAGAGCGCGAACAGCTGTTGCATTTGCCGCTGGGCGCTGGTAAAAAGATTGATGCGCTGTTGCCAGTATGACTGAATGTAGTGCGACGTCAGAAAAAGAAAATTAAAACTGAATTAAAAAAAAAAGTTAAATTGTTTATAATGTAGGTTTGTTGTCTAGAGGTGAACGTGAATGAACATTTTTATTCGTCACTCACTTTGATATAAAACATAACAACTAACTAATACTTAATTAATCCAACATACTATCAATAAGGTGAACTAGGTCAATATAGGTATAGGTATTGCCACACTTGATTTGTGATAATAATACTTTTTCTGAGATTGACAAGAAATGTCAGCATTTTTGACCGGTTGACAGGTCGCAAAACCCAATATTCTGGTATTTTAATTATGCTTCAATAGTTGCTAAGGAATCAATGAATAACAATACGAGAATCACTTTTCCGGCCTAGGCCGGGAAAGTGATTCTCGTACTACTGAATAATTGGAACAAAAATACAAACGTTTAACAGATATTTAACCGATCTCAGAAAAAATAGTATGTGTATTTCGGTGGAAAAGCACATTCTCGGCCTTCGGTGTTTGCCGGCCTCGGCTACGCCTCGCTCGTCAACTTACACTGTCGGCCGAGAATGTGTCACTTTTCCACCTAAATACACAATATACTATTCCCTATTATATTACAAAGTCATTTTCATATGAATGTAAATAACTATTTCCTTGTACCTGCTCTTTCGTTTAATAATGTGACCTTTAATATGAGCATTCGTTAGTCCACTCCGATATATTAGCCCTAAACTTTCTGCTATTATAACGGTTGTTCGTTTTATGTTCATACACTGTTTTCATCAATTTCTATCAGTCCGAATGTTTGTAACTTCTTCATCCTTTTTATGATCTACTGTCTATTCTTTGTGTAGAACGGATAACAGTATATTGTTTCAATAATAACAACAAACAATGTAACAATGATCACCATAGACTATTTGAAGTACCTAGATAAGTAATGTTGATAAAAACAAGAAAACATACTAGCTGCTGTTCCTCTAAAACAATTCGGATTCAATACTGTAGAAATAGATCAACAAATACAAAAATATGCCATTAACTGTGTTAATACAGCAGACCAATACGTATGCAAAATCACTAAACCTATGCATCACACATTTGATATAAAAACTTTGAATTTAATTATTTAATCGTTATTTTGCTTATTAGCTTTCTTTAGAGTGTAGTTTGGCTTAAAATATAATTTTTGAGACACCCTGTATAATACTCTTCATTCTTAACTTTATAAACATCCTAGCGTCTAAGTAATGCATAAGTTGTAAAATCACATAGGTAACAGATCAGATAAATATAAAGCCTGTTTTTTTTTTAAAGATAATTCCCCAAGTCAAAAATTTAGTAACTATGTTGGCAACACAAGCCTTTTCTACATAAAAAATTTGAAAGCATTGACAATTTTACATTGTATTGCCAACATAATGTCAATTTGACTTTTACCTTTAAAAAAAAACACTTTAGTTTATGCTTCAAACAAATTTTTTCTAATTTTGACATTTAAAGTGACACTTTTCAAAACTCGTTGACGTTATCAAATGCCTTACTTTTCATCACCATTTACAAAAAGTAAAATTTTTCGTAACTGGTGATGAAAAGTAAATTTCACCATTAGTCGCCAAAAATACAGGAACAAAATCTGTAATACTTTTGGGGCTGAACAAGTTGAAGTACTTTGTTGTTATTATATTCTTTGTACGTACCATCGTCACCAAAAGTAACTGGGACACAAATAATGCAAAATTATTTCCTGGACTAATTCTACTGTCATTCATTTCAATGCATTTATTGCACAGTTTGACAAATATTTGACAATAAAATTCATATATTAGGACAAGAGCTGCGTGATGCTGTCCCAGTTACTTTTGGTGACGATGGTACATATTATGAAGATTTAATTTTATTCAAATAACTTACATAATATGACAATGTATGGAAAAAAAACTAATTAGTTATAAATATTAATACTTAACAGAATTTGAACAATTATTGATGATATTGTCAACATAGTTTTCTGTGTAGCATTAATTAAATGAATAAATTGAATGTTTTTTCCTCGGTTTTTCCCATGGAAGTCGCTCCAAGGATCTTGGTGACAATTTCCAGTTTATTATCGTTATGGAATTCTCCACATAGCCCTTAGCGGCTGTATTAGACTTCCACGCCCCATGCTATTTTAATTCTGAAGAAATCAGTCAAAGCAACTACAAGTAGAGTAGGTAGTCATTGATTGCCAAAAGCGATGACCGGTTTGAGTCGCCAAACTTGACACTGAACAATACTGGCTCCAATAGCAACAGAATAGGAAACATCTCTGAACTAACTTGACGATTTAGAAATAATTATAAAGGGACATTTTTATGTTTTTGACTGGAATTTGAATGGATCAGATCATAATATACAAAATTAGAAAAAATATTGTGTGAAACACGTTAAGAAACACTATTTTTCGAAACTCGCTTCCTTTTGCGGAACTCGCTCCGCTCGTTCCGTAGAAATCTGCTCGTTACAAAAAATAGTGCTTTTCCCAACTGGTTGCACAAATAACTATTACATAAAAACTTTGAGCTCAATTTTCGGCGACATCCCATACTCGTACAAAAAAGTGATCATAAGCAGAAATGCTTGTTTTCAGGTATAGAATAACACTGCAATTTTAAAAAAATCGACCGATCACCAGAGGTGGATTCCAATATTCAGTGCTATGTTCTTTGAAAAATTCGTCAAATATATCTTTCTTAGGTCTCCCTCCATAAACAACTAAAAGGCCATCCACTCTGTTTTAATATCTAGAATTGTATAAAGGAAAAATATATTTTCTAAAAAAAAATTATTTCTGTTTTTTTAATTGTTTATTAAATTTGACACCCGTCTTGAAACTTAAATTTAATACCTACTTAAAGTTTCGTATTTTTATATAGAAATATTTTTTTCAAGTTCATTAGTTTACAAGGCAAATTAAAAGACATGGGAAAATTTCAATGTAAGATTTGCCCCAACAAATTCCAGACGAAAGAAAATTTGGAAGAACATTTGAAGATACACTCGGATAAAACTTCTTTCATATGCGATATTTGTGAAACACAATTCAGATGGCAATTCAGTTTGAAACATTGACTTTTGAAACACGCTTCAAATAAAATGTTTTAAAAGTGTTCATTCATTTTGATAAGTAGTAATTTAAATGGCAGGTACATCTAGGTAATGAAGGTAGATCGAACGTTTCTATAGCAAACCTTTGAAAAGGTAGACGCATCATAAACATCATTTTATGCACGCTGCAGCGTGCGATAATCGTTGATTATGATGCATGCGTAATAACATATTAAATGTGAGACTTGTGGAAAAAAAATTGAATCGAACAGTAAATTGCGGGATCATTCAGTGACGCATTCGGATGATCGTCCTGTCAAATGTGACACTTGAAATAAGAAATTCAAATGGATCTGCAATTTGAAAGAACACCTAAAAACGCATTCGGATGATCGTCCTTTCAAATGTGATACTTGTATTGCGAAATTCAAATGGATCTGTGATTTGAAACAACATTTAGAAAGGCACAATTACTATCCTTTCGAATGTGACACTTGTAAAAATAAATTCAAATGTGTACTTGTATCATAGATATGGAACATTATAATTGAAATGTGTCTAGAATTCATACAGTAGAATCGGAAAATGCAGTAGTAAGCAGTTTGTTTTCAATTTCATAAAAATAAAAATAGATGTTAAAGACTAGACTAGAAATGGAATTCTTGTAGGCTGTAGTATGCCTTAACTAGGAAAAACTGATGATTCTCTTTCAAAGCCTTAAAATTTTTTGAATATTAAACAGGCTGTTTCTAATATGAGACAATTCCATCAAGACATCATTTAAATCAAAGAATATATTTTTTTTTTCATGTTACATACAAGACAATTTGCATCATTTACTTAATTCAGTAGAAATCTATGAAATGTTACTATAAAGGTAGTTATAAAGCATTATATATTATTGTAAACTATACATTAAAAAATAAAAATCTAAACTAACCCAAACTAACTGACCCTTATTCTTGAGACTGAGATTCAAAAAACCTTGACCCTTATTACGTATTTTATATAAAAAATTTCTTTTAGGTTTATGATAAAAGATGAATGGACAGACGAAATAGACATATCCGAAATTCAACGAATTTATCCAAATGAAGAGATATTCAAAGGTGAAGAGAGAAATTTACATGAAACTAATCCAGTGATTCAATCAGAAGATTTAAAGAGATTGCAATGTAGCATTTACCCCAAGACTTTTGAAGCAAGAGAAAATTTTAAACAACATTTGAAAATGCATTTAGATTATCCTTTTGAATGCGATACTTGTGGAACAAAATTCAAATGGGAACTCAATTTGAAACATCATTTATTTTTGGAACACGCTGA